AGATGGAATCTTTCGGACATGGCCACAAAGGCGTTGAGTGCGGGTCGCATCAAGATGCTGAAAGGTTTGCTCGGGTACAGAAATGAGGAAAATGAGCCGATTGGAGCAGAAGACCTTGAGGAAGAACTAGGTCGGATCCATGCCAGAGGAGCGATTCGACAATTGCGTATCGAAATGAGCAGAGTGATGAGTGGAACATCAAGCGGAGTTGCAAAGCAGTTTTTGCAGATGGCAGTTTTGCAGAGTTTAGTCACAAAGACTCTCGGAGACGCCTTGAGCTGTGGTGAAACGGATGTGTGCAGGCTGGATGAACAGCCAATTGTGGAGATTGAGGAGAAGTGGAATTTTCATGTTTGGATGATTGTGTGCGTATTTGTTTTCTTGATTTCCGTGCAGATTTCAGTTTTCGTGTATTTGAGAAGGCGCATATGTCAATTGCGTGAATACATGAATGCGGAGACAGCAAGCATGCGTGGAGATATCGTTGAGCTTGCGGACGAGAGTGGAATGCTAGTGGTGAGATTTATGGCAAATGACAGAAATTGGCTCACAGCCAACAACAGATTGGTCGCGATCGATGAGCACATTGATCGACTTGAGAGATATATCATCTCTGACTTCGATGAACAGACCACGGTGAGGATCAACGCTGAAGTGCATTTTGCCGGAACAGCGAGAAGACTTTCAGAATGAAGCATGAGAGAAATGCGTGGCAGGTGTACGGCATACCCTTTTGTGGTACATTGCCAGGCTGCAGTAGGAGCTAGTTTCACAGAGAATGCAGACAAGCGCTCACATAATGTGACCGTTGTCTGAGGCGGGGTGCTAATCATAATGGTGAACCACCCATGTGTTTGAAACGCTTTCTCGGATAGCGAACACTGAGTTGCATGGAGTTGAGTACAGACATGTACATGGAGCTGAGTTGAGAGTCATGTGAACAACACATGAAACACTTCTTCGGTTGCGAGTGCAAGGACACTTGAATTGCAGGCGTCTAAATGCTCTGAGAAAATAAGCACATCACCATCGCAGGTGCCAGGGCAAACTGCCCTGACTCCAGCCTTGCCTTCTGCACACCGTAGCGGACCCGGCGCTTGGCCAAGGTCACACACGCCCGCCCAGGCAAGCTCATCAGACTCACAGCTGCATCCAGCCTCAAAGCGGTTTTTTTGGACGTGCAGGTAGGCTGCGCCCAGTGACGTCAGCCGCCATTAGCCTTGGCCTTGACTGCTTCGAGCCTCTTGACCTAGATGGTGACACTGCGCATAACATCCTGGATGACGAAGTCTTCGAGGCACCTGCTGGTCAGGAATCGTGGCCCTGATTATGCTTGCCCCGCCTTGCAAACTCAAACTACGCCCGGGCGGGCCCAAAGCCTTGAGAACGTCCCAGCGCATGGACGGGGTCCCCGGCCTTTCGCCTGCGCAGCGTAAAAAATTGCTGGATAGCAAAACCATCCACGACCGTGGCAGAGCCGTGTTCAGAGCAGTGGTCTGAAAAGGGGGCGTTGGCATTTGGGCGCCGTCGGCCATGTCCTGGCTGGAAGAGGCCAACTTCCAAATGCTACGCGATCGCCAGTGTGCCCTGGTGTGGGTAGACGCCTGCATGCACAACAAAGCCTTCTCCAAGTCGTGGGCGTTCGGCTGCAACAGTTCGAAAATACAGGCCCTTGCAGGCGTGAAGGAACAAGGGGTATACCTCAGCACACTGACCGCTGAATACCCCCCTTCCCTGGCCCTGCAACTGGCCCAGGTCGGCATAGGAAGAGTAAAACAGGCTCTTTCCGACAAGCACTGCCACTGCACCCCAACTCCTCCAGACCCATCACATTGGCGAGCCGAGGACAAATGCAATTTTCACTGGAGAGAGATTTCGGTTGAGTCCTGGCAGAGATTCAGATGCAGTTTCAAGCTTGAATGGAGCAGAAGTTGAGCAAAGAACAGAAAGCTTTGGTGAAATCGTTGGACGCTTAGTGGCGACTGGAGCAAGTGCAGAAGAAGCAGAGGTGGCGCTGTTGAGACATGGCAAAGAACGGGAACGAGTCAGAGCTGAGCAAAGGCTGACATACAGCCCTATGAGGCTCAGGATGGTGCGAAGGAGCGAAAGCCCTGGCGATTGAAGCGTGAGATAAGAGAAGCCCGGTTTGCGACTTTACGTCAATGGTTGCTGGTTTCACTTTTGAGCCCTTGGGCCACTGGCTGGCTGAGCAAGCGACTCAGGTAGCAGGTGCAAAATCAGTGAGTTTCTGACCAAAGCTCATCAACTCAGGTGGGGTGTTGATGATTTGCACCGTGGAACCCATTTATATAACATGTGGGATGTTATGTAGTAACATGGCTAAATATGTCATAACCGGATGCAGGGCTCAAGTCCGAGTGGCAAAAGTGCGTTTGTTGTCGGTCGCTCGTTTGTTTTCAAGAACAGATCGACCCCGAGTCGCATCCAGAACACGGATGGCGCCAACCCGCTGGCGCCGGCCACGCCCAACCCCGCCTGTTTCGTCCAGCGCGTCCAGGTCTTCGCCAACGGCCAGCGGTCGCACCGTGGCGGTGCACGATCTTCTTAAGGGCCGCGAGTACAACCGCAACAAGGCCATGTTTGGACTTCATTTCTGGACAAAAGAAGCTGTAGCGGCTTCATCGAAGTTCTCTGAACATGTTTGAAAGAGCGATGCGCCAATGGCCGCAACATTGATCGCTCAAGTTGTTCCCACCCGCCCTCCGCATTAGGGGGTAACTTGCAGGCCTGCCAATGCTTACGCTCCAGAGGCACATCCGTGAATAGCGGAAGGTGCCGGGTCGCTGCGGCTTTGGACCTCATTTCTGGAAAAACAACCTGTAGCGGCTTCATCGAAGTTTTCTGAACATGTTTGAAAAAACTCAAAGCTCTTGTTGTGTCAAAGAACTGTGCTTGCGGTTGTGTTGTTTTTGATTTTGTGTTTTTCCCGTTTGGTGGTTTCCTTCCTCAACACGTTTTTCTCGTTTTGGCATTTCAGCGCTACAACAGCGGACCGGCGTGATCGCAGCGGCCGCATGGTTCAAAGAAAAAAAGGACTATATAGCTCCTACCGAAAGACTGCGGCCAGTCGGAGGAAGCGACGCAATTTGGATGCCTTTCGGTCACCTCCCATTCCGGCGCTTCCTGCTCTTCAGATCCAAAACCGATCGAGTCGATGGTCTCTTCGGATGCTGATCGGTCTGTCGGAGATGTCGGTGCTTCCTGCTGGGTTTCTTCCTCCTTTGGTGTTGGAGGTTCCTGCTTGGCCTCGTCCTTGGCTGGGGTCGAGGTGGAAGGGGTATCGCCGGGAACTGCACGCCCGACGCTTTTGCAGGGGTCCTCGGTGGGCGCTTCTGACTCTGCCCGCTCCTTTGGCAGTTCTTCCCGCACAACCGGCGGATCTGCCCGCTCGGTTCGCTGCCGCTCCCAAGCGAATGGCTGGTTTCGAAGCTGCGCCGCCTTCGGAAGCGCTTGCTTCTGGTGCTTGCGCAGCTGGAACTGGGGCTTGTTGCGCTTGTTGCGCCTGCGCTGCTTGCCGGCGTCCCAGTTGCCCTCTCTCGATCCGGCGGGGCTGTTGCTCCCGATCGGTGTCGCCTGCGCGGCTGTTCTGCTCGGCCCTTTGCGACGCGCTGCAAATGGAGCTGCGGCTGTCGATGCCGATGCTGTCGACTGCTGTGGTGGGGGTCCTTGCGGCTCAGCTGGTTGAGCTAGCCACTTGCACCACTTGCAACCAGTCTTGCTGTCGCCAAAAACCGGTGTGCCAACCTTGTCGGTTCCACCCACAATCACGGTGTGATCTATTCCAGCCGTGGCGGATGCTGGTGGCGTGGCCTTGGTCACGCGGGGCTATCCGCTGTATGACCTGGAGCTGGAGGGGCTGAGCTCCGCTACCATGAAAAAGGGGAAGCTAGCACGGTAGGACGCGTAGTGGGCTCCTTTTTGTTTTCTAGAGACGCAGACAGAAAATGTTTTGAAACACTGTCTGTATGTTTTTTGCGGAGTGCGGAATCAGAAATTGTTTTGGAGAAGCTTAACGTCAAAGTGAAACTCTTGGAGGGTGCAATGCAAGCAAGATTAGTCAGTGCAGGCAACGCTGATCCGGTTGAGCGGACATGGAACAGTGGAAAAGAGAGCGAGCCAGATCGGTAGATCGGTTTGCTTTATCTATGCAGAAGATGACAGGAATGTTTAAGGTGGGGTGTGTGAACTTTTACTGGATCACATGAACCCCCAAAACATCCCTTGGCATGTAGCCCAATATTCTTGTGGATGTCATGCGTAGCTTGATCGAATCTCGGAAGCGCTATGGCTCATGGAGGAAAATAGTGTGCTGAGTTTGTTTCAACTGCTTGTGAAAGAAGCACCTGCATCGATTTGCTTCTTTGCTTGCGGGGCACTCGTCGTCTAGTTTGATTTGCTACAATATGCTCGCAAAACGCAGTGTAGCAACCGCAGTACAACACGTCTGCAGGGGTCAACGATTTTCTTTTGCGAGGCACATTGCTGTCTGAGTAGTGATGTTGGCATGTCGAATGGTTTTCCCACGAGTTTGTGTTACATCTTAACAACGTGTGCAGAGTTAGACGTGCTGCATGGGTTAGCAAAAACAGGCGCACAGAAAAATGTCGCAGAGATCGCACAACCAGATTGCCCGGAAACCATGTCAAGCGATCCCATTGGCCGGCACCGTTCTGGGACAAGAATAAGTTGTGTTTCCGCGGCTCCAGCTAAGTTGCCCATGAACATAGGATCTATTCATGGATTATTGGATCACACGCACGCACGCGCACAGCATGTTGCTTCGATTCTTGAAGGCATTTCAAAGCGTGCGGGTAAACCTGACCTTGACATGTTTCATTTATGCAATGTGCAATGAACACATTTTTGCCGCTCCGCAACAGTATGTTGGCAACACGTTGCTGCAATGAAACGGAGCCCATGTTCTTGTTGCTGTCATTGGTGGTTGATGGCAACTGGTATCCAAGCGCTGCGACCAATAGATGTTAGACGGCGCGTCATCTGATTCTGGCCCGGCCGAGCTGGCCGCGGTTGGGTTGATGGACATTGCTTGTGGTTGTGTTGTTTTGCCTTGCCAGGAGCCGTGCACTGCGCGTGAAGCATGGAGCGGCCAAGGCTCACAAGGATACCATGCGCGTGCGACGACTTAGTTTTGGCTGGCTCAGGCGTGTTGTGCCTGGCACATCTCACTCATGCGGTGGTCGTGCCTGGAGTGGAGGCCGAACAAGAGCGAACAAGAGCTTCACGTAGTTCCAAATGGAGCTTGGACTTGTGTTGGCAATTGTGACCATTTTTGACAGGAGAAACTGCGAATTGAGCTGGCAGACGTTCCACTTCCGGTCAGTACCTCAGTTGGTGGTCAAACATGCCATGCAGTGACTTAGGCAATCGAGCTTCGGTGCAAGGCGTACGTAGCACACTCAGGGCCGCACAATTTGCTTGTCGCAACATCGGGCCATCCATGCAGCTTGGCAGTTTGCACAGGTTGGACCACAGACAGCTCTCACAGAGGGTCTTGACAAGTCGCGGCTTCGGAAAGCCAGGCGCGGGGGTGACCGTTTCCTTTCCACTGGCTGTATGAAGCCAGGCTGGAGGTTGTGGGTCACAAGGCTGTGGCAGAGGCCGATTTTTGAATATTTGGAAGCTATGACTTTGGTCGAGAGAGCCTTTTTCTGAGTTTTTGAGTTTTCGTTTCTTCTGTTTTTCTTTCGGTCTTTTCATCTTCTTCTCTTTCCTTCCTCTTTCCGTCTATCCCTTCTATCCCTTCTATTCTTCTTCTCTCTCCGATCCCGTCGTGTCCTCTCTCAGGTGTGGATCGGGGCGCCCCAGGCCGAGCCCTGGGCCATCCGCATCAAGCCCGCGGCCCGGAGAGAGACTCGGAGAGACTCGGAGAGACTCGGAGAGACTCGGAGAAAAGAGAGAATGAGAAAAGAGATTTCGAGAGAAGAAAGGAGAAGAATGAAAAGAGGAAAGAGATAAGAAGAGAGAGGAAAGAGGGAGAGAGGACAAGGCGAGAGGGGAAGAGAGAGATAGAGAGAGAGACAGGAGAGAAGAATATGAAATCTCAAAAAGGAAAGAGGGAAGATCAGATTCTTAAGAACAAAATGAAAAGGACAAAAGAGAGAAAGAAAAGATACGGAGAGACGTACCAGCTAGCATGCTACGAGTTCACAAGTTCAGGTTGCAAGCATGCGGTTGAGCCGGGCGACCAGGTTGTACCGGAGACCTGCGAGCAACCTCTTTGCACAAGAGCGACTTGCTGAATTGGTGGAAGAGACTCAGCAACAAATACCCCGAGTTTGGACGATTTCAGATCACTTTGTGAAACTCATGCAGGCCTTGCCACGGCCAAGATCGCTGGTTCAACTGGTCCCCGTTCAGCATGCCAAGCTGGAAGCCCGTATCTGAGAGCAGTCCCGTTTGTTGGGCCGGCGCGCCAAGTGCAGGTGCTGCGTTTGGTACCGCTGTCAGCAGCCGCCGCCCTCCAGAAGGTGCACCGAGCGAAGCCTGAGCTCTGATGCTGTGATGCTCTGTGATGCTCTGTGAGATGCTCTGTGATCGGTGTGTTGTCACGTCACTCTTCAGCGTACAAGAGATGTCAGGAATCTTCCGTTTGGCGTTTGGCATTTTGCAAGGCCGCAGGAGAGGTCCTCGCCAAAGCGGTGGCAGCAGGTGTGGAAGCTCCCGACATTGAGGAGAGCTGAGCTTGAACGTCAAAGGCTTCCGCACTTGTGGAACTGTTCTGTTTCGACTCCGTTTTTCTTGAGTCGAATCGGTCAGAAGCTCTGCCTCGGTGCTCGAGAGCTTGGCCCAGAGACCATGCCGAGCCGCCGCATTTACCAAGTTCTACCAAGTTCTACCGAGTTCTCAAAGTTTCAAACAGTCGATTATTTTTAAAGTTTCTTGGAGCGTCTTGCCGTTTTAGACGCTTTTGACTGCATACTTTTCTGCGAGGCTCAGCAAGGACGTTGAGCGAGCGCTGGAGTCTGCCGCAGGCGGATCCGTGCTTGGATCCGAAGTGTGGCATTCGCTCAGACTTTCTGGCATCCTTGTGCGCTAGTTTAGCTGCTGCAGAGCAACTTCAAATGGGATTCATGAAGACCATAAAGAGTTCAGCTCGCGAACTGCAAGCCAAGGTTGTCAGCTGTCATCCTGCCAGTTCATGAAACCGCCAAAGACAAAATCGGAAAGGCGACAGCCAAATGCAACGAGCAGTCAATAAGTGAGAAGGACACGGGCGCAGAGCGTAACACAAAGAAGCAACAGCCCGCTGTGGAAAAAATGCGCGATGCAGAACTAGCTTTTGCTGACGCATACAGAGGTTGCTTAGAAGGAGACTCAGACCAACCTCACATTCACATTATTCAAGGCACAAGACGAACCAACGTTACCGTGCACCACTTGCACCACTGTTGTACCAGTGATGTTTGATGCTGTTTGCGTGTGCCGAAGTGGGACGCGAGGCATGGGAAAGTGGCGGCCCGAGCTCATTTGTGTCATTTATATGCAGTAAGTGCGTTTGGGTCAGGCGCGAGGTGGTGGACAAGCTGCTGGCGGCAGGAGAGACCGAGGCATCGGATGGAGTTGAGATGGGTCGGACAGGCGCCAAGCCAACCCTCCAAGCCGCTCATGCAGCAGAGCAGGCAACAAGCGGGAACAGAGTCATAGCTCGGTGAGATTCTCAGACTCTTGAAGGCGCAAACAGCCGGGTGTGTGGACCTTGCGCGAGACCTTTTCATTGCGCAGGACCGGCTGATTTGAGTCCTGTCGGGATTCCTTTCGCAATTCTCGCTGGACTCCCCAGACACATTGCACTTTCAGAGTTTCTCAATTCGTCTCATTCCTTCTTTTCTTTTCACCTTTGGTACTTATTTGTTTTCTCTCTCTGTCTCTCGCTCTCTACAGCGTTAAAATCGGAGTTACAAATACTACAAGTGCAAGTGCAATGCTGTTTTTGTTAACATAAACAAATGTAGTCTGCTGCAGGCTTTTGTTTTATCCAGGTGTAGTCGGGCTGAGACTCAAGGCCTGCGGTAGTGTACACATGCAACACACATGCCAGTAGTGAAGCATGTAGTTTGACATACAGACATCTTTTCATATGTCTCTTTTCACGTTTCCAGCTCGTATTTCTCTCTCAGGAGCCCGACGCCAAGGTGGATCCGCTCGCAGAGAGAACGAATCCGAGCAAGTTTTGAGCAAGTTTCGAGAAAGACAGAGTTAGAGTAAAAGACGTAAGAATGAAAGAGTGAATGAAAGAGACGTGAGAGAGACACGAGACGTGAGAGAGACAGTTAAGCTGAAGGAGTCACGACGCGTTCGACAGCGTCTCCAGGCACCGGTGCTGAGGGCCCTGGAAGAGCGGATGCCGCTGGTGGCCGAGCGCCTGCTGAAGGAGAAGGCGATGTGAAAGAGACTTTAGAGACTCCTGTCGTTTTTTCTTTTCTGATCTTTTTCAATTTTCCCTAGAGACTCTGTCGTTTTTCTTTTCTCTTTCTTTTTTCATTTGAATATCTTCTTTGACTTTCTTACTTTCTTCTTTCTTGAGGAGGCCGTGCGAAGCTGAAGCGGCGCGGAGCGCCGATCTGCTGGGGCGGGCGACGTCCGAGGCACTCAACGAGCTGCCAGCAGACGGCGAGCCTGCCCGCAAGGCATCGGGTATCGCGTATCGCGTGTGCGGTAGCGCGTCAGAGACTTAGGCGCATGCCGCCGGAGCATGGCCGGATCCTCTGAAGTCATTTCAAGTTTCGACTCACGTCGACTTATTCTCATTTTCGGATTCTTGCATTGATCACTCAAAACAGGCTTGGGTTGAGTTCGAGCTTGCCGAGGTCGGTGCTTGCTGCATTGTTGGAGCGTGGTGATCCGATGTGCGAGACATAGCCTCGTGCATGGAGTGCCGAACACATTCCATGTCAAATTCTCCAAGCAAAGGCAGTGCCCGAATGTGAGGAAGATGCTGCTTGCAATGCCAATTGCAAATTGCCTGAATTGTGTTTGTGTCAATCTGAATGCGGAATTTATACTACATGTCGGAGAAAAGGACATTTACAATTCCCAAGCGGTTTAGGGGCAACTCGGTCGATTCGACAGGCTGGGAGTCGGCCCGGCTTCGGCTTTCATGCAAATTGGCAAAGTTGCTCCTTTTGCTTCTTTGTTTTTGTTTTTGCTTTTCCTATCGAACCTACCGCTTCTCTTAGGCCGGCGAAGCCCCGGCTGCTGCTGGACTACGCGCTGCGCGCGGGTCACGCGGGCCTGGCGAGGCGCGGTTCATGGAGCGATGCGAGAGAGCGACGCGACGTGGCGTGGCAACGTTGCGACAGGTCCTGCCTGAAGCACATGGGAGAGGCACGCACGCTCTGCGTGATGGAAAGAGGCTCGCAGTTTGAGAGGATACGAAGGACATGGACGCAGCCCTTCGCACCTGACTGGGTCCCAAGGTACTGGGTCCCAAGGTAGTAATCCGACCTATCTGTCAAAGCTGTGCGCTGTTTGAGGCCTGGACCACGGTCGCACCGAGATCGTCCGAGAAGCCTTGGAGGTGATGTGGAAAGCTCGGTCAAGCCAGTGGTCAGAAGGTGCAAGGGCGATGTCACTCGCTCGTCACACTCCTCAAATGGCAGGCCCTCCTTTGCTTTGCTTGGAGTACGGCCCAGAAGACCAACCTGCAGAATGCCGTCCTTCCACATTTCTTAGCAAACACGTCCTAGATGATTCGATCGACTCAGTGACTCAGTGACTCAGTGACTCTGTGACTCGTGACTCCGTGACTCAGTGGCAGGCAGCGTTTGCTTTGCCGGGCCCCAAGACTTCAAGATCGGACGGCGCTTCGCAGACTGTAGGACCCGCTGTATACCAGTCCAGGGCAGCTTGGTGGCAGATGGATGCACAGAGACTTGCAGTGCGCGAGCTCAGGGTCTACATCAATGAGGAGGGCTCCCGCGTGTGCGGGCATTTCACATGCTTGTCCTAAACTTGAGAAGCATCTAATGACATGCCGCGCCTTTAACTTCCGAGGAACTGCGCAGAGCACGTTCAAGATGAGGCGCTTTTTTGTCGCGCATGTTCCTGCCCGCGCCCGGACCAGGCAGGCGAGCGATTCCGCGCCTGGCGAGCTCGCAGGGGGCAAAGCACGCTGTCTTCTGTATTTTTTTCGGGTTCCGGAATGGAGTGCAAATTGGAAGCTACAAGATGCGACCCGTTCTATCTTATGTTTGGGCTGGTGGAAGAGAGAAAAAACCCGCTTTGCTGACTGTGGTGCAGTTTACACTTGTTTCTATTGGAACCAAGCACTGCGTGCAACACATTTGGTCATCTGCCTCTTTGAGACATATCTACCTTCTGCGTCAGAGTACTTCAGGGTCCAAGTATCCGTCCTGGTGGCGGAAGCAGATCAAGACCTTCTGTTTGCTTGAGCGTACGAAGGAGAAGCAGGATTCTGGGTGGAAGATGAAGATGTTTTTGTCCATTAGACGATGAAGAAGCTTTTTGGCAGCTGGACGACCATGCTGTGGCGAAGAGGCCAGAAACGTAAGGGCAAGCGCCGAAGAGGCCGCTTCGAAAACCACAATCAGGCAGCAAGGCCAGCATGGCCGACGAGAGCACCACCGATGAATCCTGTTGGGGCAAGAAAGGAAAGCAATTTTGGTACCAAAAAGATTCAATCCATGTGAAGCAGCGTGGATAGTTCCTGCAGCTGCGTCGTCGGCAGAGACGACCGAAACAATCGGTCATGTCAACAACGACCGCTGGACACTCAATTGCACCATCAAGGAACTCCATCATGTGCCTAAGAGGAGAGCGCTGTTTGTGCGGGACACAAGCAAAGCTTGTCCATATCACACACAAGTCTACAACCAAGGAGTAACTAAAAGATTCCAGGCAGAGAGAAAAGAACCATTATCTTCCATAGAAGATAATTGGCGAATCAAAGCAACATCGCCGAGAACAACTCCAGAGTTGCGGGCTGGATCCACAATCTTCAAGTTCTCTGACAAACCACTTACAGCAGAGCAAAGTCACACGGACAAACCAGCGGACGTGGTCGTCCCAGCGCCAGGCTGGCGTGCCGCTGAGCCAAAAGATCCTGCTGCGCAAGCAAGAAGCATCGCCAGACGCATCCACAGCACCACAAGGTTCCACTTCCACTTGCGCTGAGAACCAGAAGAGCTAAGGGATGTTGGGAGAGCAGTTCAGATGCCGGACACGACAAGATTTGAGCGGAAAGTGAGCCGTAGCACCATCGCGTAGCCATAGTGATGTCACCAATATTCCTTTGTTACGGAACGATTTCGATCAATATCATCTTCATCTTCAGCCAAAATGTGTCGTTGGAGACCAAGCATTCACGACAGAAAGCTGGGATACCTTCTACAACGGTCTTGACATTCAACCTGGTCTCCCTAAAGCCCGCAGTGCGCCTCCTCAAGAGACAAATCTCCCTCATGCTCAACTCGCAGGCGTAGCGCCAGCCTCACTGAAGCCGTAACCTACAAGCAACTTGCGAAGGCAGCGACAGCAAGAAACTCTTGCGTGACACACAGCGGAGCCACTCCAGTTGAGCTAGCGTTCGGACGCAGACCAGTCCAAGTGGACACAGCCACGCCGCCGCAACTTAAAATTTACAATTTGTCAAGAGGCCCAACAGTCTGAAGATGTCCGGCGAGACCTCGCGCAACACCTGCGCCTCAGGTCAAAGCCAGTCGTAGCCCGAGGAACTTCTAGCAGACCAATCTGGAAGAACCGGAGGGCTCCGATTCTCCAAGAACCCGTCGACACACCGACGAAGACTCAGACCTGACACTAGACGAAGAGCTCTGTCAGCAGCAACACTGCGTCATTCACTTTTCCAAGAGATATTGTGGACAGACCCGTTAGTCTCTATACAGTGCATTCCGCTCAGGTCTATAACAACTTCGCGCACCCGCAGCAACGCAACTCGTACGGTGATGACGACCAAGCGATGCTCGCACTGTATACCGAGAGACAGGAGTCCCTCAAGGCTTCCACCGCACCGCAGCTAAACGAAAGGAAGAGTTGAAATTGCACAAGGAAACGGCCTTTGCCGTCCCGTCATCGTGTTGGCCAAAGTCCTCATTGTTGCGAAGAATTGTGCTCAACCATTTGGATCCACGAAAACCTAGTTCCTGGCGCGCTGCAGGTCAAGCGGTCTTTGCGCGGGTGATTTGCACTCCTGGCACGCGACCCACGCTGCAGGTCAAGCAGTCCCGCTGTGCTTGCGCGGGTGGTTCGCACTCCTGGCACGCCCGACCCGCAGCGCAGGTCAAGCGGTCCCACAATGTCTTTGCGTGGGCGACTCGCATGAACTGGCCGTAGGGAATGCTGGGAGGTCCGCAGTGCGCTGCTGGGTATGCCCGCTTGTGGCTGCCACCGTTTGAAGAAGAATTGGTATTGTCCGAATTGAACGGCTTTGTCAGAGACAACTTCCTCTAGTGCTTCAACAGCCAGTTTCTGGTCAGCGCACCATGTTCGCCGTTCTTGGTGCCGTGACGTGGTCTATGAAAAAGGAATCTCCTGACACAAAAAGGTCATCAACATGTAGACGCACGACTCCGTGAACAGTGCGGCCCTGAGCATAGTTGCGTTCAGAAGAAGTTCCATGGCATTTTCTAAGTCTGTCTTTTTCTTGTGTTCTTCTGGCACAATCGTTTTAGGAGCTGCGGGACCTTTGGGTTTACCAAGTGCTGGACGCTGTCACAAGATGGCCTGGCTTGGTCTTGTCACTTGTCACACGCTTGACACTTGTCACACGCAATGCGTTCGTCAGGGCACGATGAACCATCTGGCCTTACTTTTAGAAAGTCTCCATCTTTCTTCCGTTTCATAGTTTTCTGCCGGTCACAATGCTCTTGATCTTCATTTTTCAAGTGTGTAAGCCTCGTTATCAATCCATGATTGTATTTCTTGCTGCCTTCTTGGCATCCATGAACTGCTTGGTTTGCGTAGCTGTCGCTTCCTTGCGCTTCTTACCAGCGTGGCGTCGAGCTTGGTTGACAATGTATGGTCCTCGCCCGTTCGTCTGGAGTGTTCTTCTTGAATATCAGCCCGAGACGTCTCGTCGAGGGTGATCTAGTGTCAGTGCAAAGGCATTTCGTCACAGGATGCGAACAAACCTGATCCAGGTCAATAGGGGCATTGTCTATCTCTCGAGGCATTGTAAACGAGCCCGTTGTTGCACAGAGTTTCGCACCTTCTCACAACAAGATTGACGAGCGCGGCATCATCGTCATAAGGAATTATGTCATCCGACGACTCCTCATCTTCCATGCTTTCATGAGGTTCAGGCGGAGGTCGGCGCGAGGGTCTGGTTTGTTCTGTTATGCTGGAATGAGTCACTCCTCGGATTCGTCATCATTGCGCGTTGTCTCGGATCGGCAACAAGCAGGTATTTGGTGAAGGTCTAGTGTGCGGCGGCTGCTTCGTAGAAGCGATTGTCAAGGTATCGCCCCCCAGACAGGTGAGCGACGGAGGCAACGAGGCCGGATGCTTAACCTGCCTAGAATTGCGGCGGGCGCTTCGAGGCGATTGGGCCTGGTGCAATTAGGAGCGCCTACCAAGAGAGTCGCAGCGACCGAAGGCTGAGGAACCCGAAGACGTGGAAGGATCTAAGCTGTCAGGAGGCAGGTTACCGGAAGGAGGAGGGGCTGCCGTGTCATGCATCATCAGGTGTCTGCCGCGTGGAATCTGGTATCTCGTCGACGATGCCAATTGGTGTGAAGCCGCAAGTCAAAAGCATTCCAAGTTTTACCCGACCACACGCAGGTCAGATCGCCTGCAGGTTTTACGACGACATGGCGGATTTCTGGTGTGTCTCCTGTCAACTAAAAGCGGCCGAGACAGCAAGCGCACCGTCGCCTCCATCAGGTTCCAAGACGTGATTGGCGCGGGACTGGTGATTGCCAGCAAAACCTTGGTAAACCGCATCCGCCACGCCGACTACTGGGCATCGTCTGGCGCGCAGACAAGGTGCTTACTAGGAGGCGGTTCACACGCTCCATCGGGTAAGACTCCAACGGATCTTCTGCAGCGGTCAAGGCTTCCACACGGCCAAGAACCACTTCGTGTCACTGTGACAAGCGGGCAAAATACTTATCACTCTCGGGTCCTTGCACAGGCCCCTTGATCGTCTTCATGCGGCGCGTGGGTGACAAGAACTGCAGGGTACGTACCAGCTCGTCAACCGCGATGAGAAGTACCGGCTGCTCAGCTCAAGAGAGTCAAGGAAGAGGAGCGCAAGGAGCAACCTTCATACAGCACTAACGCGCGCACTGGCGTTCCTGGTGGGCAAGAGCCCCGATCCCCAAGGCCGTAAACAGAAGAGGACTATGGTAGGGCAGAGAGCAAGGAGATCTGCGAATGCGACAAGCAGGGACGCTCTTCATACGAACTGCACAAGAACGACTGGTATGTGGAGCGCTGGAACACCTGGAGCTGAACCCGACGCCTGTGTTCGGCCCAATGCGCTTGAACGTGGCTTGCGGCCCACATGAGACTGCCGCCCAAAAGCATTTTGCAGCTCTCGTGTCTTTATGCTTGGTGGATCGAAGCAGACACGCAACTTTCACATAGGATATCAGAGCCAGAACCACGTGCAATAATGTTCAATGGCAAATGCGCGATTTTGCATCGTGTCCTACCTGGACAGAGGTCAGTAGCAGCAGAGTGGGATAAGTTCATCAGTCAGAAGCTGGTGGCAAGTCAGTATGCTAAGATTGCGCTGCATGTAGATGATTTGTTGGCGAGTGGAAATGAACATTGGAGAAGAGAGAAGTTGATTGAAGCTCTCAAAAGCGATCTGACTTTGAAGGTGGGTGACCTTTCAGTTTCTCAAGCGGCATTTCTGTGTAAAACATGTGGTGGTGAGTGCGAGTCCCAAGTACGAAAAGAATGCTGGAAGAGCTTTAAGATGAGACAAGTTGGAAGTACAGGAAGACACCACTGCCGAGCAAATGCGTTGTGCAGGATGTGCTATTTCCTCATGGCACATTCGTTCAAGGATCTTTGCAACCGCTCCTGGTACGAGTTTGCTGGATTTCTCAGAAGTTGTGAGCAACAATGTAGACCTTGAGCAGTATCCTTCTCTGTTTAAGGGCAAGCAAGACGTTGTACAGCTGCTTGCTCGGCAAACGACATGCAAGGGGATCAACAACTGGAGCAGCGATTACAATTCATGCGAACCCTGTTTTCTGGTCCTCAATTCATTGCAGCAGCTTCAGGACTGCAGGAAGGTATCTATATTCAGCGCTTGTGGAATCAGTTGCTGGACCACTCACTTCTGTCGAAGGCAACAAGTCGTTTGGTGCTCAGAACACACAGAAGCATGGAACGACAAGGGCAAAACATGTTATTGCTTCGAGCGTTCTGTGAGTGCAGAAGCTGGTTAAGGAACAGCGTGCGCAAGTGACAGAAATTTCCACGTTGACAAAAACACTTGCAGTGAAGCGATGTAAGCTTCTTTTGACTTGGTGATCTTCTCGTCATAGAAGACGTAGGTGCCGCGATCCGCACGAGTAGGCACTAGGCCATAGGACCTTAGCGCTGAAACAAGAATGCCACCGTCGCTTTGCTGCATCGTCGAGTCCGTAAGCAGGTTTCTTCTGACATATGGGGGGCAACCCATTTCTGGCGCAATCTGGCAGATTGTCTCGAGTGTTTTCACCTTCCAGGAAAGCCGACATCAAATCAGGTCTATGGGAGTATCTGAATCCACTTCTTGTCCGTTTGTTGCTCATTCTTTTGGCAATCCTGGAATCCTCTCAAGTTCTCTCTTGATGGTGAAGACCCGTCTTCCGGTTACCCAGTTTCTTACTTGAAGTTTCTTGGCGTCGACTAAGTCGAACACTTCGTTGACTAGCCAGGCTTTGCACTCGCTGTTTTGCTTCAAGGAATTGTTTTGTATACGCTCTGGTTTCTTGTTGTGTCTCCAGAACATGAAGGTTGTTGAGTGGGATGTGACGATTTCTCGATCATGTGAACAGAGCGCATGGGCGTGGCTCAGGGCTCTTCAAGAATGTCGTTGAACTCCGACAAGAGGGTTTGACAGAACTTCCGCTACAGGGTGAGCAAGCGCAGTCCTCCCACACCCACTGGCGCTGTCCTCCGCACTACCGGATCCAGCGGACCCTCATCCACGGATAACGCGCAAGCTTTGGCCTCGCAGAAGCTGATGCAGGACAAGGTGTTCAAAGCAGCGTCCAGGCGTGACCGCGAGGAGTCCGACGTGGAGATTCTGAAAGAAAAGCCAGAAACCGAGGACCAACAGCCAAGCGCATCTTCCAGATCGAAATCCAGAAACAAGATGCTGACGCGGGCAGCAAAGCCAAAGAAACGGCTTATCCCAGGCCACTTGCGCTAGTGATAGTGTGATCAGCAGGCGGCGCCCAGTAATGAAGTTGGTCTGCCTTCCGAGCAGAAGGAAGACTTTGCTGGCGCTCGCATCATCGATGATGGCCTGCAGGAGATCACAAGTGCTCAGCAGGAGACGGGGAGCTTGTGAACGTCCAAGACCGCAAGCTTCGTGCTCCTCAAAGCTCTCCAGTTGGGGCTGGAACGGTGTCACGGTAAAGATACACAAAGGGCCACTTGCAAATCGCAACGTCAGACAGACGTCTCAAGTCTGCAACATAAGTACTGCTGTGCTGTCCGCGTTTGCGCCGCAGAGAAAGGACACCGTGTTCCCGCTGTTGCAAGCGCATCTTCTGGAAGGTTATGCGCAAGTGACGTGGGCTTTTAGTAGTTTTACCCAATCGGATCTTGCATAACCTTCCTTTTGTCGAAGGAGATAAACCATACAGTCAAGCCACCGCATCTTGCTACCAGCGGGGGTTCTCAAAAATGAAATGTCTGCCATGTTTCTTGGAAACGAGCGACCTTGACACAGAAAAGAACCGTTGGAAGGGATCTTCCTGTTTTGCTGCTAACACGGTCGGACCCTGCAAATTTGGTATTTGGCTTGCCTCGCACTCGGGTGCCATGAGAATAAAAGCTACCCGCAACCCTGCTGCTGCTGCGGTTTGTGCCATTCGCGCGGATCCTGCAAAAAGCTCAGGAAAGCCCGTGCGGCCGGTCATCTGACAGTGCGAGGTCTGATAAGAACAACATGTGCGTCAATGAAACCTTAGTCAGTGTGTTTTTGGAGATGTCCTTGCGCACTTCCTCAGTGTCAGGTGAGCCGCTAATGCGGTCGCCAACTGGCTTCCTTCCCGATCTTGTTGATGTTTGTCTTGGCAATTCTGGAGCCCAAATCAACTCCTGCCATGAAACCATCAACAGTGAGTACCTTTCGCTTCAACCATTTCCCGACTTGGCACCGTCCGCACGGATTTTACTTGAATCTATCTGCCAGTAGTAGTAAGACTTGTTGCCCTGAAAAATCAGTGTCTTGGAAAACCTGACGTTGTTGGCTATGTCTCGACGGCTTGGGTGACATGGTTGGCTTTATGGTCTGAGGTCAGTACTGATGCGTCCTCGGTCTCTACGGTCACCAGGACGGCCGTCTTCCAAAAGCAAGAGTTGGAGAAGCGCCTCCAAAAGTCATAGTGAGTTCCTGGCCACGCATGCTTGTCGAACAATCTGTTGATAAGCAAGACCAACAAGAGAAGAGTCTGACTGCACCCTGGAACATTCACATTGCGGACTCTGCTCTGGTTGGCCAGGGAGTGCAGGTCCAGCAGCAATGGTACTAATATTGTTCGAACGATGGCTGCAGGAAAGCTTGATCCGCAACAAAAAACTTTGGATTCAATTGGTGTGTATTCATCGAACTTGATGACAGTTTCATCCGCGCAGGTTCCTGTCACGGGATAACCCAGAATGATGAGAAAGGTGAGTTTCCCGTTTTGGACCACTAGTGCGCTCTTCTTATCACCAGGGTCTTCTTTGAGATTAAACTCAACTTCTCCAGGATCCACGAACGTCAGCTCACCAAATGCTTCAGAGCGCGTTCCATTCACTCAAGAATGGGTCGGCTTTGGCTTCGACTTCTGACATGTGTCACAGTTCTTTCAAATGTTTCGTATTCCTGATAAATGTCTTCCGGGACTTTCAAAGCCGAAGTACGCTTTCGAAACTGGGAAACTGACATGCGATAGTGCTTGAGATGCAGCTTTACCACCTCAAAAGGGTTCCGCAGTTTATTTGGAATGCGGTTCAATCCAAGTGGAAGCAAAACTGAAGGTTCATCGCTGGCGCGTTGCTCAAGTGAATCTTCCCAATAGCCTCTGGTGATGTTGGAAACTGTAGCGTTGGCACACATCATAGCGCCAAGCACACAGTGAATACCATGAGGGCAATCTTCTTGATGTCGAATAACGGGCAGGTCATGAACTCACCCAGTGGAGTGTGAGTAATAGTCATTCGTAAATTTCTCATCCATTCTGCATTGAACAGAACACAATCGGAATCAGATCAAGAATGTTAAGTGTGGTTGAGACCCTCTGGTGCTTGAAGGTCATAGCTAGTCTCTCCTTGATGACTGTGGTCCAAACGCAAATTTTGAACGGGTAGGCGTGTAATGAATGGAAATAGCAACGCCTGCTTACTGCTGACATGCCCTGACAAGGCAACTGCGTACAGCACGTGTACACCCAGAATCCAGAATCACGCAAGTGGGATGGTGTGCATGGGAGCAGCAAACAGGATTCATCCAAGTCGCCGTAGTGCCACACCTGCTCATGTGTGCCGGTGTTTTTCTAGTTGCGTGACCCGCTAGTGCGGTGTCTTGGCTACCGTACGCTCTACCGGTTGCCAGGTACGCGGCTGCTAGCCATGCTTGTGCTTGGTACCCAGTCGTACCAATTTTCTGCAGACGCCCGTGTCCACCGCTTGCCGTCATACTCCTGAGCTGCTTCTGGCTGCTCTTGTTGGGCGTCGGCTTGGGTATTTTTGTTTTGTCCTTGCTTTTTTCTTTGCCTTTCTTGCCCTTGCCTTTCTTTCCCTTGCCGCCTTTCCTTTCCCTTGCCGCCTTTCCAGCCGCCGCAGTATGCGACTGTGTAGGGATCGGCAATCAGCCATGTGGGCTGCTTTTGCTGCGCCTTTGCCTGTCGCCGCGTAAGGCTTAAATCCTGGTCGGCGATATCTTTTGCCTTGTTCTTTTCCTTTTCCCTTGCCCGAACGTTCTGCCGCCAACGCTCCCAGAACTTTTCCTCAGCACAGGCACTGATGAAGCCTTCTGCGCCTCATCGTGGGACCAGAAAGCATCCGCCGCGAAAGAGGTTCAAGGCTCAAGGTGGTAGAAGCTTCTGCGCTGTGTTGTCCTATACCGCGTGACTTGAGAAAAGGATCGGCCACGCCAGAGAAAAGTTCCGAGAACTGCTGCTTCACCTGCTGTTCGAATGCTAAGAACGAGCCTCTACTCTGTGAGCTCTGCCTGAACGATGAACATCAAGGCCAAGTTGTCGGCAAGTGGGAAATTGTTTTCGTGCTGCTCTCGTTGAA